TCGTTCTTCATCCATGGATATGGAGCTGTAACCGCCGGAGAAACCTCGTCGAGGAGGTGTTTCTCGATGAACCAAAGTGCAGATACTTCGCTAGGAGTCGCCATTGATAGAGCTTGAAAAGGCTTATTAGATTGGTGAAAACAGAGAAGGAGGAAGGGTTTGAATTGAGTAGAGAAGGAGAGTGGAAAGAAGTATATATACATGTTAAGAAGAATGACCATTTCCTCTTATCTTTCAAGGGGACTTATTCAATGGTGGTTCTGAATAAATTTTGAATTAAATAAGAAGAAGAAGGACCCAACGAACCATCCTATTCATGTCTTCTTCTTGCAATATTTTATAATGTAATCAGGTAGATGTAAAAGAAAGCACCACTTGCTCGCGTCTTTCGTAGACTAAGAGCCGTTGGATTGTGGAACGGATTCATCTAGTCGACATTGTGATCGTTCCGTTTTTGCAATTGACTACAATGTTTGTCACTAAACTTATCTTTGTGAATCTTAATTAATCACAAAAATGCTCGAAACTTTTATAGATTAACAAATTATTGTATGGTGATTGGTAAACATATTAAGGTCAAAATCTATTGTCAAGAGTTTGGGCTAGTAGTATAGGGCTTATAAAACCCTCCAACTGTTTTTTTTTTTTTTTTGAAAGATTTTGGAAGTTCCGGTTCTTTGACCCATAATCTCTCCCGGTGTCCGGAACCAGCCGTTGATAATACTACATTTAAGGCGTAAATCATCATTTCCCAAGTGAAGTTGAAATAATGAATTTAAACTTTGAAAATTTACTCCCAACACCACTATGCCACCAACCACTTGGTCCTCCAAATATTGTATTTTCCATAACTTCCAGTTCAATTCATGTTTGGGAGAAACGTCGACTTTTTCGGCTTCATCCCTTATTGGAATATTATTATACGTTAAGAATTTTGATGATTGGAATTCTTTATAATAAGAAACAAAGATGAGTTTGATCATCTTTCGCAAAATTGTAAGATTGAAAATAGTTACACAAAAATATGAATTAGAAATGATTAAGAGGCTAAGAGCATCATAACTTGGATCATGTGCGAATTTTACTAATTACGCATTGACACATCGGAATTCTTCGCGGTGTGTGAATGTGATATTTACTAATCCGAATTACACCTAACCTAACTTAACCTAGTGGTCTTCCGCTTTCTAAGATTGGTTATGAATGGGAAAAGAAAATCAATGTTTTTTAGTTTACTGCTTCCAAAGCTGCAAACATATTATTTCAAATATATTTTTCTTGATAATTTATATAGTACCATTTTGGTGTACCAATATTCATAGCGTTAACTCCATTTCCGATTGCAGTCTACCTTTATCTTCATCATCTCACTTTGCTTAATCATTCTTTCATAATTTAAAAATTATCCGTCCTAAACTTGCATATGTTTTTCTCCGGCTAAACAAAAAGACTGGTAACATTTAATTTAGCTAATCTTGATTAAGTCACCTCCATAATTTGTTCGTATTCTCGCTGCATTCAAAGTTCGTTATAGAGTTTATAAAAATCAACGTGTTATCTTCATTTATATAATAACAAATCCATTGTCAATGGCAAACACTAGAAACAAATTTTAACTAAAATGCAAACACAAATGTAAAACAATTTTTTTTTATCAAACACAAATGTAAAACAAATTCGGCTAACAACATAAAAATTTGCACATAAAACACAATTTAAATCAATAATTAACGGACAGTATCAACCGGCTAATAGGCATCGAAAAGTAAATTGAGTTTGTAAGA